TTTTGGCGTTAATTACGCTCGATGTATGGTGCCCATTCATTTAATCTAGTATTGGACAAATTTGATATAGTATTAGTCTTGGATTGGTCATGTTAGATCCATGATTGAGTATTGAACACTTTGATTGTGTATAGAGTTGGCCATGTTTAGCTCACGATTGGTCACATTGAATTAGGATTGGTCATACATGGTCTATTATTGTTCACATTTAGTCTAATCTCGGTCACAATTGCTCCAATATTGGCCATAATTGAATCAAAGCGGGAGGGTCGTCACCTGCTCACGCGCGGGAATTGAGTCCCAAGCGACGATAACAACACACCTAAAAACGCAAAGGTTCATGGGTAGACGCTTGTTTGTAAACAGGGTCTATCACTTTTGGTTTAGAATTGGTAATATAATTGGATACAGTGGTTATGCATTGGATAAACCATATTGAGTCCAACATTGGTAACATTCGGCTCAAATACCGTTTTATTGGTCATATTGTTGTTTAAAATGAATATAAATTTATAAACATATTTGCCTTAGAGTTTCAATACAAGCACGAACAATTTAAAAACATTTAAACATTATTATAACTAATATGACAGCATCTCACAAATACGCTCTAGTGATCCATGATTTCATTTCAGAATTGAATTCTACATTAAATGATTTTCATTTGATATAATACATGATGCATTTGAAGTCTGAAATTTCATACTTGAATATTTCAACTAAAGTTGATGATTATGTCATTATTTTAGTAAATAGTAGAAATTACCGATGTTTTCATATTTTATTTTCATTTCTCACTTGAAAACTTTATGAAACTCATTTATTTTGGATTTGTGTCAAATACCATTTTGTTATTAAATCTTAATTATAAATTGAGGCCCCGGTGGACCACATGTATTACTTTTGGTAAAAATTACGGTCCGGGAGACTAGATCTCTAAAAAGAAACAAATTTACAAGTAAAACACACTAGTTTAAATTGCCCAATTTAATCGTTTGTAGGTTTCCATTAGTGACCCCCGGGGAAGATAAATCTGGGCATGTCATCGACGTCGTCTTTAAAAAAGGAATAACTTTTGTTTTTTTCGTTCTGCATTTGCCAGCGAATAAAAATAAGATTGTTGCCAACTATTAACAAGACACATTAGACGACAATGTACTTACATTAGCTTATACAATATATATACAGTATTTTGATCATGTTTGACGACGTGTACATAATATAATACCACAGTCACTTTCCTAGTAGAGTGACATAAATTTTATTTTGAAAAATTTACAAAAAATAAATAATCATTTACAGTTTGTATAACAAAATGGATTTGAGTTAAATCATTGCCATATTGACAGTGACGTCATTAGGACTATTACCAGGGTCACTGTCTGTGTATTCAGACTATCATAACACCAATGTCAATGATAAGATATACGTCTTTGTGACGTAACAAGAAAGCTTGTGCTCAAAATGTTCACAATATTTGATATATTATATATTAATGTATATTTTTCATGGGCAACTTTTCTGTGATCTTCTCAGACATTTTAGACAATGTATAAATTTGGTTAAGTAAAACATTTAGTTTCGCAACAATAAATAAGTACATTGTACACAGCAGACATGTGTTGCAGCTATTGACATACGAGACATCATTATATTAGGAACATTAAATAATTATAAACTTATTGAAACTCAAATCCCAATTTTAGTATTATTAGTATAGCCACGATGCATGTATGCACGTAATACGCTAATATTGTTCTCATTATAGGTGACCTGTTGGTGTGTAAAGGCGTGTATTTTTCACTGTTCACTGCCGCCTTATGTGTTACTACTTAGGAATCAGGGATGTGTTTTATCAGTTTTAGGCTTACTGTACGCCTATTCTCTGTATCATAGACAACCATTGACCGAGTGTATGGTTGTTATAGAAACGGTGTTTCTAAAGATCAGATTTCACTGGGCAAACTAGCATCTCGGGAAGACTTCTTTGAGCATACGTATAAGCATTCACATACAGGAGACTATTGTGAGTTAACAATAGTCTTTACATGTCGTGCTAATCTTTACAACTACCGACGTCTGAACTGAGTCACTGTAGTTCCGCGTTCCAGTGGATCTCATTAAAGACATCCTCATACCAGTGGAAGAAATCAGGTTGTATTTTAAGTCGTCACAAGTTTTTTCTTCTCAGCAACTATGTCGCATGTGTACTGTGTTATCATATTGATGTTAACTAAGTGTGTCTTGGCAACTCCTCCACGCGAAACTTCACCGGCATGTCTCACTGGTGGAATCAACTTTGATTCAAGACCAAACCAAATCGGCGATCCTGCGATAGTGTCGTGCCTGTCTCGTGGAGGTGATCCTTTCCCTAGTCTTACGTGGCGAAGGAATGGTGTCGTCGTCGCCTCGCAGTATACCGAAGATTCGCGGTTAAAGACGGCACAAAGCGATATCAGCTGGGAGCTAACATCGGAAGACGACAACGCCATGTACGAATGCACTCTAACCCACCCGGAACTAACACAGCCACGTTCATGTTCACTTCAACAAGCAATCAGAGTTCGTTATTCGCCTATTGTTACAGTCAATCCACCAAGTTTGGTGATCGCTACAGGTAACATGGCTGTTTTCATATGTTACGCACATGGTAGCCCCAGCCTGAGCTTCTTACAACAATGGAACTTCGATGGATCCCTAACAGTTCCTGACAGTGATCGATATTCCTCTTCGACAATGACTGATGGAGGAATTCTGCTACAGATTAAAAACATCATGGAAAGTGACTATGCTGTCGAAATAACCTGTAAAGCTGTGAACACAAAGGGCACAACGCGGACACAGGTCCTGATTCTACCACCGCCACCTCCGAGTCCTTCAACCATAACCACAACCCCACAAAAAACAACTACAACCTTGTTACATCACGTTACCATCACCACGAAGCCTGAAGAGACAGAAGGCACTCATGTCAATACCGGTTACAGTACAGCTTGTTTTACATCTATTATGAACAGTATTGTATTATTTACGTCATGTTTCACAGCCACCACACACACTGCATTTTATACTCTGTAACGCTTACAAATATTGCCATGGTCAATTACGAAGTATGCTAGTATATTTAAAAAGACAATAGCATTTTTGAATTATAAAATAATAGTACAAAGACTTGCTTCAGTGGAGGCAATTAACAGATTTCTCAATTACGACGTCATAAAATTCAAGTAGTTCCGTATTTTCATTTATTTACAGTATGAACACACTGATCACCCTGATGATACCCGGTCCGGTATCTGTGTCGGTGGGTGGGTGGGTTGTAGGTGTTTTAGATCGCTTCACGTTTTGCCAGATCACTGGAAATTACCCCACCTTCTTTCAATTTAGTTTCAATTCTAAATCAGTGAAACCCGCGATATACAGTTCGATTATTTTATAGGAGAACAGTGATTTTAATGCACCCTACCCCCACATGTGTCGTCGGAAATAAACAATGTATTTTACCCGTGTTGTATTCGTCGCTATGAGTCCCACATCAAACACGACGCGGTGCGACTATTGTAAACACCGATTTGTACCTTGATTCCAGTTCCGAATTCGGATTTCCAATCCTTGAATTTTACCTATAGATATTGTCAAATCAGTTATCTCCCGGATCTCAAAAACATATGGATGATAAATTTGATTTTTTAAATTGACCTATTCAGAAATGTTCACATAATATTTCAAATAGGTCGAAAAAACAATCTTCAAATCTCGAGTTCCCGATAAAATACACATCTGCCTGCTATCAAAATATACTGATAATTGAAATTTCCGCACTCATTTTATGGTCCGTGACTGTGGTAAGTACCAGTGTTCATTTCCACAGTTTGGTGCATATCGTTGGAGCTATTATATTGCTTCACTGCATATTCGAATTGAACAGAAAGTGCACACACCTTTGAAACAAATCAACCGACTGTGAAACATTTCAATATACTCTGTAATATACAATTATTAAAACATGATACCATGAAGTTACAAGCAACATCATTCATATGTCAGTCTTGACTAAACTGCGTATCAGAGCACATGCCCCCCTGTGTAAATGGTCAAATTGGATATAAAGAACATTTTAAAGAAATTATTTTACTATTAGAACAGATAGTTTTAAAAATATAGTACTATCTGTCTCATTGTGAGGAGGGGTAAAAAAGCAAAAAATGCATTTGTAATATTTAATTCATGCATTTGCATTATTTTTTTTTATTTCAACTATGAATCATATATTTTGTGTGTTTTACCTATATTGTATTAACATCAATATCCTAATACATGAATACGTTATCAATAAACATTACTACTACTATGTATCGTTGACCTCCATGTTTGTCTCTACACGTGGTCATGTGACTGGTTTTCAGGTTAATATTTGACCAGATATTTTCTCACCTTCGTACTCGACGTGATCGGTACCACAACTAAGTGTATATATGGAACCTATGGATTAGTTTGTAAGTCTGTCACAAACGCCTAATTGGATGAGACGTAGATATTCCAACGTTATAACGATCACAGGTACGTGTATCGCTGGCAGTTGTAGGTTGTATACAGGGACTGTGGCGGTATGGCGGGCATCGGAATCATCTTATATCGATTAGAGTCTAGTCACGTGGCTTAATATAACAAATGTTATATGTGAAATAGACGTTCAGACTGATTGAATTCTTATTTCAAATTGAACATTATCAAGAAGTGAATATATGCGTAGCCTTCAAACATTGTGACGATCATGATGTTTTGAGTTTATAATTAACTTGAATGTCAATGTATAGCGCCCTCTATCACATTGATTTGATGGCACCCAGAAGGTGATGATTCATTCAAATCATAGAGTATAAAAAAGAAGGATATAATCCGTAAAAATGACATTTTAAAAACATCAGCTTACCCATTTCTTATAATAATTGGTGTACAAAAATGTTTTGTTGTTATCAGAAGGTAATCAATTCAAACTAAATCTACAGAAGATCTAACCAGGTTCAAACAAAACAATTATTGAAGATTGTCTCAGTTGTATAAATCCTATAAAGTCCATGATTTAATTTTAATTTACGTTTTGATAGATGTGACATCATGGAGGCTGATCAGAATCAAACAGTGTTGTATAGGATCAAACACTGGTGCATTATGGGAAGTAACGTCACTAAGTTCATAGCGATATGTACCATAGTACTAATAATGATAGCAGCATATATACCTACAAGTCGAAGAATGCGTTCTGATAAGGTAGTATTGCCACAGACGTTCCAAACAGAGACTCATAACAGTAACATGGGAAAGTTACCACGGCAACCGGACCCGCAGGTATGATATATTTTTCAATAGGGCACCACCGTAGTAATTCACACAAATAAAAAAAAAATAGGATAGGCGATATGATTCCATCTAAATCGACTGTGAACGCACCGGAAATAAAGGCGCGTGCATTTCGTTTTTGCATTTTTTTGTTTGCAAAATAGACTTTACACCGCAGTTTAATTTCTTGTCTTGTGGGGAGAAGAAATAAGTTTGAGGGCAGTCAAATGTGTCAAGTTCTTGCCTGATAGTGAGCGAGACTGCTGCTTTGCTATAATATGCATTCAAAACCGACCCAATCCAAATATAAGAACATTAAAAAACGAAACCACTGGTTTGTACACGTGGCTGTCATTTGTGTGTGTGTGTGTGTGCGTGCGTGTGGGTGTGTGTGTGTGTGCGTGTGTGTGTGTGTGTGTGTGTGTGTGTGTGTGTGTGTGTGCGTGTGTGTGCGTGCTAGTGGAGGTGTTTTCCTGACACTCGGTGTTAATGAGTCATAGGCAAAGATCGCGTCAGCCCTCAGGGTCAATACTAAAGTGTACACTAATTCACTGATGTAGAATTTTTGACTAATTCGAAGGGATGCAGGAGTATTCTAAACAACGTACATGTGTTTGTTGTTCTGACCTCGCCCTTTACCCGTAAATGCACCCATTGAATTAAAGGGGAACCGCCCAATCCCATGGATTGCAACAAAGAATCATGGGACACTATTGTTTATGTTGTTTACAATGTTAATCTATCTTTTGTTATCCATTGTCATTTTAATCCAGAAAGTAAATTTGTTGTGAAATTAGGCTTAACTGGAAGGTGCCCCTTTAATAATTCTGACTCCCTCTAACCGTCAATGCAAAATCGTGTTTTTAACCTCCTCAATATTTTGGCCGAGCCTGGTGGACGGTTGCACTACGGTGATATAATAGACCATTCTATGGCGACAGAAAGTAAATGGTAAGACTTTAATGATTGACATCAATCGTTGCCAAATTTCACATTCGAGAAACTATTGGAGCAAATTATATCTAAATTGAGTAAATAATGCATTCAGCATAATTAAGCTTTTGTTTTTGTTTTTTGTTGGGGGTGAATTACTTTACATTCATAGGTATTGAAGTGGTCTGCTGGTAAGGGACGACGTCAAAAGATCGATGTCGGATAAAACACTTAATTCCTTTAGTTTTTTTCAAAACCCCCTCACCCCCACTGAAACTTAATTGATAAATATTGGACATGGCGCCAGACTATATTCGCCATTAAATACAAATGGATAATCGGACAATAGTATGGCATAGCAGTTGGTTGTCGGGTGGATGTAAACAGATTTTACAAATGCACCTCATTTGACACACATATTTACACTCGGACCAAACCATTTTCTCGTCTTCGATGTTTTTTTTTTTTTTCATTTTCTGTTATTTCTGTCCATGATTGGATAGAAACCATTTCTGCAAGCTATGGAAGATGACAATTAATGAGGAAAAGTCAAACGTGTTGATCATTAACAAGAAAGTTAACAAAAACAAAGATTGGCAGATTGGGAACTCAAAGATAAAAGAAGCTTCTGAGTATAAATATGTGGGTTATTGGATTACACGTAACTTGTCAGATCATACACAATGTACAAAAATGTCTGAAAAGTTTAACAAGTTA